TCTTCATTCAAAGCCTGTTGTGGATGAGCAGGACACGATGTGAGGAGCTGGTTGTTCCCAAGCCTTCCTCAGGTTTTTCTTTTGCCACCAAACCCCCCCTTGCCAGGGCTGTCCCCTGATCCAGGCCCCTCTGGGGGCCTCATTCCCGTGCCAGGTGGAGACCTGATGCTTTGTTTTGTGGAACACCTTCCATGAGGATCACAATAGATTCCTTGGAATCCTGCCCTGGGTGCTGGGATTTGCTGGCATTCCTGGCACACCCAGTCCTGTTCCGGGTTTGGGTTTCCTTGTTTGCTGGCTCCTTAATTTTTTTTTTTACCTTAACAGCCCAAGGTGACTTAATCTGGCCTGATCCCTCACAAAAAAAGGCCTTGAATGGCTGGAATTTAAGGGAGATGATGATCATCCCGGGAAATCCAACTCCCACTCCACGTTCACAGCATGACCGGCTCAAGCCTCCTTTCAAAACCCTTTTTTTTTCCTTTTTTTTTGGTAACAGGCTTTACCAAAAGCATCCCCTGGGGCTCTCATCTTCACAGCTCAGCAGGTTTAATCCATCGCTGGAATTCAGGGGCTTCTCAACAACAAATGGCACCTTTGGGCATTTTTTTAATTATTATTATTAATTTTATTATAATTGTGGGGAAAGAAGGATCCCAAGGGGTGGCTGATTGCTGGATTTTGGCGGGGAGGACCCTGATGTCCAAGTGAAAAGGAAGAGGGCTCTGGCTGGGGGGGAGGAATGTGTAACTCTTTTCCTGTCTAACAGCCTCACTCGGTGTTGGGAGTGCCGCTGGTTGCGGTTTCCCTTTCATCCCCCAGCCCTGAATCACCCTCCTGCTCTGCTGAGATCATCTCCACGGGGCTGGGACCAACCCAGCCCCTAAGGATGGCCCCAGCATCCCTTCAGCAGCCTCTGGAATACAACTGTGGGTTCCTCTGATTCCCCCCAACACAAGAGCAATTAAAGCTTCCAGCTCTGTGGCATCATCCAGCACAGATGGAATCCCTGGGACTGAACCACAGAGGGATGCTTGGATCTGCCCCAGTGAAGCAGGGGTCGCCTCTCCCCCTCCCCATGGATAATCCAGGCTGGTAGCATTCCTGGGAAGAAATCTGCTCCTTTGATTCAAGCTGGTTTTATTAAATAAGCCAGGCAGAGCCGGCTGGGGGGATTTGGTTCTGCTCGTGATTCACTTTTATCATCCTAAGCAATCAGATCTGGCACGGGAGACCTTTCACCCTTCCTTAAAAGAAAGGGAATTGATGCTCCCTCCCTGTGGAGGGAGAGTCTCTCCTGCCCTTTGTGTCAGACATGCTGACAACCCCTTTTCCCCAGGTTTCATCCCACTCACCTATAAATAACTCCTAAAAACACCTCTGCAGGTGATAATTAATCTGAGGCCTCTGTGGCTGCTCCAGCTGAAATTGCCTGGGCTGTCTGATGCCAGCTCCCTGTCACCCCCAGGCAGCGCCAGGGATCCAAACTGCCGTGGGATGGGACATGTCCAGTGCCAAACCCTCTGGAATGGCAGGGATAACTCCGGGGGATGATGCAGGGGCCAAGGAGTGTTCTGGACCACTTCCCATGGGCATTGTCCCTGCACTGCTCCCCAGGCTGGACCCCAAAGCCACCTTATTTTTTTGTGGATGCGCTTGGGTTTGGGGAGGGTTTGGGTGTTTTTTGTTAAATGAGGCTGGTGCTGCTCCTGGCAGGTTGGTTTCCTTCATCCACACTCCTCATCTTCTCATGTCATGCTTCCATGATTTCCCACAGTGGGAGATGAGCTCCTGGAAAACCTCCCCAGCCTGGAGTTGTGGCTGGGCAGCAGCAGCAGCAAGTACTCACTTTTTACAAAGCCACCCAAAAGGTGGATTATCAAATAAATGAATTAAATGATTAATTGCAGGTCTGAGGGTGAGCATCCAAGTGAAAGTGTCCAGGGCAAGGGACCCACTTTGGGCAGAGCCCTGCACAGGTAAGGAAAAGGGAGTGTTCCAGTGCCTGTGAATAACCAGAATATTTATTTATATGGACGTGTTTCTAAGGGGGAATGGCTTCAGCTGACAGAGAATAGGTTTAGATGGAATATTAGGAAGAAATTCTTCCCTGTGAGGGTGGTGAGGTTGCCCAGAGAAGCTGTGTCTGCCCTTAGATCCCTAGAAAGGTCCAAGGCCAGGCTGGCCAGGGCTTGGACACTGTGGTGTGTCCCTATAGGGACACTGGGGAGGTGGAGGAGCCTCAGATCCACCCAGAGCTCCCATGGCAGTGGGAAAACCTCTGCCCTTGAGGACTGGGCTGAGGCTGAGAAACCCTGTGACTGCAGAAAAATGCCAGCAATTGCTGTCATTTCCCATGCTCTGGCTGGTGGGAAGCAGAGAGAGATGCCAGCTGCATCCTCCCTCCCTGGAGCCAGGGCTGCTCTGTCCCCCAGGACACCCCATCCCAAAACCAGATTGCTCCGGGGCAGCTGGGGTGGGTCTGAGCAGCCCAAAAGAGCTGGGAAGCAGCACTGTCTCTTTCCCAGCCTGACTGGATGTTAAAATCCAGGGAAAAATAAGACAAACACTCAAAAAGTGCCTGGGTGGGAGCAGAAATCAGCGGCTCTGGGGGGAGGAGCTGCTGAGGTGGGAGGTGTTTGTACCCCCGTTCTCCAAGGGCAGCAAGGGCATTTTGACTGCTGCCTTTTCCCAGATTTGAAAGATTTGCAGGAAAAGCCCAGCCTGCGGTGCCTGGGGAGCTCGGGGAGAGGAGCAATGGTTGGCCCTGCCTCAGTTTCCCCCTTTGGGAAGTGTCCCAGTCTCAGCTCTGGTGCTTTTGGCTGGACTGTGGCTGTGGATTTCTCCATCTCCCGGTGAGGGAAGCCAGGCTGGAAGCTCTGCCCTGGTTTTTTGGCTCTGTTTGTCCTCCAGTTAAGGGGCAATAAGAGGGGACATCATCCCCTGATTAACCCTTCCCCTGGGCAGGTTTGGGGGGCCCGAGCTCTGGTGATGATCCAGCTCCTTCCTTGTCCCAAATGCTTTGGCTCCTAACTGGCTCTGGAAATCTTCTCCTGGCAGCAGAGTCCTTGTTCCTGGAGCACCTGGCGGGGGTGGGAGATAAATAAATCCTTGTGGAGTTCCAGCCCCCACCTGGGAATTTAAAAAAAATATTTAGGAAACATTCCAGAAAATTTAGGGGATTTGGGGGATTTCCCAGAATTTTTGGGGATTTTTTTGGCTTTTTTTTAAAAAAAGGATTCTTTTGGGTGGATTTTTTGGCATTTTAAATGGGATTTTTATAAGATTTAGGGGCTTCAGGGGCACCCAAAAATTCTGGGAAAATTTGGGAAATATTTGGGAAGGTTAGGAAAAACTTGGGAATTTTTAAGGACATTTTAAGGGATTTTTTGAGGATTTTTTGTGATTTTTTTTTTATGTTTTTTTGAGGGGTTTTGAGTGGCTTAATGTTATTTTGGAGTCAGAGACTACCCAAAATTAAGGAGGAGTGTGGAAAAATGTTGGGAAAAATCTGGGGAAAGGGAAAGAAATTTTGGGATTTTTGGGGGAATTTTTCAGGATATTTTCTGGATTATTTTTAAATGTTTTTTGAACTTTTTTATTTTATTTTTAAGGGGATTTTTATGGGATTTCGGGGGTCTGGAAACCCCCCAAAAATAAGGGAAACACCTGGGAAGATTTAGGTAAAACTCGGGAAAATTAAAAGGATTATTAAGAGGTTTTGGGTGAGAGAATTGTGGATTTTAGGGGATTTTTAAGGATTTTTGGGGTCCTTGGGTGAAGTTTTGGGGTCCCCAGGTAAATTTTGGGAGTCCTGGGGCAGATTTTAGGGAAATTCCGGGATTTGTGGATGGATTTCAGGAGACTGATGGGGATTTTGGGGGTCCTGGAGTGGAATTTGGGAGGCTGTGCTGGCTTGGTGGGAAGGGTGGCTTTTCCCTGCTCCTGCCTCTGGGTGATCCCAGAGTGTCCTCTGCTGGGCACAGGGATGCTTGTCCAGCCCTGGCCCTGGGCATTCCTTCTCAAGGGAAAATAAAGAGCAGGATAAAGCAGTGAGGGTGAGGAGGGTGAAGGGAGGAAGAAGAGGAGGGTACCTGGATTCTGCAGCTGTTTTTCTTTGGCTGTGTCAGAAGTATTTCTGAAATGAAATCAGTCATGGGATGGGCATTGCGACACTTCCTTCCTTTAAGTTTTACTTCCCCTGCATGAAGGGGTTGGGATGTTTTTATATATTTTTCCTCAGCTGTGCTCCTCTGATCTGAAATCAAAGAGTTTTCCCCTTGTCCACACAGAGAAAGTCACTGGGTTGATCCAGAGCCAGCTTGCGGCAGGGCACTCGGAGAACTTCTCCTCAAGGACATTTTGGAGTGGGATTTTTTTTGGCACTGGACACTGCTGGGATGCTCAGAGGGGACTGGAGCCAGCGTGGCTGTGCTGTGACAGCCCAGAGAGGTCACCCAGAGTCTCCTCTCCAGCTGCACTGCTGTCACCAGAGCCTCGGGAACAGCCGGAGCTGTCACCTCAGGAATGTCTGGAGCTGCAGGGGCTGCATTTCCCAAACCGGGCAGCCCTCACACACCATGGGGAGTCTGCACACCCCAGTGAAAGGTTTCCTTCTGTTTGTGGTGGCAGGAGCAGGGAAAGGGAAGTGCTGGACAGGTTGTGGGCAGGGTGGGTGTCCAGGAGATTTGGGCACTGCAGTGAGGACAGGCTGAGGACAGAGATTGCCTTGAGCTTCCTCTGAAATCCCTGCTTTTCCAAACAGCCAGAGAAAAGAGCAGCAGCAGGTACCCAGGATACCCCAGTTCAGAGCCCAGAACATTCAGCTGGGAGCTGTGGCAGCTCCAGGATGTCACCTCTCAGCAAGGACCAAGTCACCAGGCAGCAGGGACAGGAACGAAGGGGATTTTTCTTTGAATCTCTCCCTTCTCCAGCTTTTTCTGTGAACAAGTATCCCTTCCCTCACAACTCTCAAGACAGAAAACACAGCAGCCTTTATTTTTGGTATTTGGGGTTTATTTATAGGGCTGGGCTTTGGGGTCTTTCCCTGAGCATCACTTACAAAGAACAAATCAGCTGTGGGGGTTGATAAAGAATGCTTACAAAGATCTCAGCAGCAGGTGAGCTCCAGGTACAGCACACCTGCCTGATGGGGAGTTTGGGGGAAACCCCAGTGGTTTTCCAGCAGCTTCCCAGCCAGAAACCTTGGTTTTCTTCAGGGTTTGACTCACAAAGATGTGCATCAAGCTTGGTTTGCGTGATGGGAGTTGTGAGTGTAAAACATTTGCCTCTCTTACAACAGCAGCCACGCAGAGATTTCAAAGAGAAATCTGACCAGATGGTGCTCCTAAAGTCCTCCAAAATCCCTACATACCTCTGCTGCAGGTAGAGGTTAAAAGAAAAAGTCACTGAGAGTCCTCTCTACACACTGATGGGGGATTTCAGACTCAGACCTTCCCAAGCAACTGCAGCACTCCTACACGAGGCATTTTTAACCACCCATTCTTAATTAAAAGGCCAAAATTAGATCAGTGGGACCAGCCAAGGATCCCTATCATCCCTCAGCTGAAAATCATAGTGTTTAATTTATTGCAGTGAAATTTGCGCTATTCTCTGACCCCGCCGCGGGTCTGGAGCAGGAGCTTTGTCCCCCAGCACCGTGGGGAGCTACTGGGACTTGGCTTTGGCGGGCTTCCCCGTCCTGCCCTTCTTGCAGAAGCACCTGCGGCAGCAGCACAGGCAGCACTTGAAGGAGATGAAGAGGGAGAGGAGCGTGACGGCGGCCAGGAAGGCGATGACGTCCAGCGAGTGGTACTGCACCCAGTTGAGGTCGTGGGCGGCGGGGCGCAGGTGAGGGGCCCCCTTGTGCCTCATCACAAACTCCACCCAGTGCACGGCCAGGTCCAGCGGGTGGATGGGCCTGTCCAGGTGCAGGTCCGAGAGGCGCTGGATGTTCTCCTTGTACCTGCCGAGGAGAAGGCATTGGGGGTAGGGTTCAAACATGGGATTGACGCCTTAGGATTTTGGCTTTTACGGTTTTTTAAATCCTCTACTGCTTTAGGGTGCAACTCCAAAACTCCACAGCTTGTCAGCGGCTGCTCTGCCGTTGTATTCAGACAAAACAATCCCTTCTAGGCCTGGGACTCAAGGGCACAAAATGTAAACAACAGTGAATTGGGATGGGAGCAAACTGGGGGTAAATGACTTCATTACCTGAAGCTGTAGTTGGAGGAATAACCCCTGATATGCAAATGGATCAAACTTAAAATGGTCTCAGAAACTCGTGACCGTTGTCCATCTTGGGTGCCAAGGTGTACCTATGGAAGGCTTTTAATAAATACCTACATTTTGTCCTCTTAATCTTGTCTAGCCTCTCTTCTAGGTAGCCACTCCAAGGCATCAGTTTTCTGGCACCCCAGATGGGAGAAGAAAGGCTTCTGGAAAACCCTTGGACCAGAGAAACATAAATACCCACTTTATTCTGCTAATCTTGTCTCGCCTTTGTTCTAGGTAGCCACTCCAAGGCATCAGTATCACAGGGTGGAGTGTGTTGGAAGGACTTTAAAGCTTGTCCCTCATGGGCAGGGGCACCTTCCACCAGGCCAGGTTGCTCCAAACCCCATCCAGGACACTTCCAGGGATGGGGCAGCCACAGCTTCTCTGGGCTCTTGTGCTACTGAGCCCCTTGAGAAGGACAATGGCAAAGTTACAGGCTCAGGAAAGTGCTGTTTCCAATGACAAAAAAAAAAAAACAACAAAACAACAAAAAAAAAGAAACAAAAAAAACCCAACAAAATGAGGGAAAGCTTGCTTTGGGCTTTCTGCAAAATCTCTGGGGTGAAGGTCTCTGGCTGAATAATGGGGTTAAAAAAAGCTGGGCAGCTTTTCCAGCTGCATTATCATTGTTGTTCTTGTTAGTGTAGTACTATTGCTGTTGCTGCCATAAAAATTGAGAAATTGGCTAGGAAACAATGTCAATAAGCTGCTCTTTCTCAGGAACGTGGTGGAGTTTCTTAGTCCTTAGCATCTTCAAATGGGAGCAGGGAAGAGCTCTTATGTCTGAAAGAAATCTCTGTGCTGCCTTTCAACCCCTTGGGCATGCTGTGATGTTCCCTGGGCTTCCTCAGTGCATCCCTGCATCTTCCTCCTGCTCCATGCTGGGATTGTCCAGCCTTGCTGAGCCAAGCAAGCAGCTCTCTGTGCTCACAGAATTCCTCATGAGCACTGAAGTGGAGGGGGTGGGGGGTGGGAAAGGCCTGAGAAAACTCACCTGTAAAATAAGTCAGTGATAAATATGTTTGATAAACCCTTTTCAGGCTCCCCACTGACCTGTGTGACCATAGGGTTGGGAACAAAAGCTGTCTGTCGCTTGTGTCAAAGCCCTCTCTGTCACTGAGACATCTTCTCTCTGTCACTGCCTTGACTTTAAGAAGGTGACACACTTTTTTGGCAGCTTGGGACTCATAGCCCATGTCCCCTGCTCCCTGCATCCTCCCTTCTCAGCCACTTCTCATCCTCTAAAGGGGACAGCCTGAAGTTAACCCAGGGCAAGTATCAGCTTCTCCATGGAAGCAGCTGCTACCAAATCCACACCTTTGACAAAAGAAGCCATTTAGGGAGAGAAAAACACTGTGTTAAGCTGGAAGTGAAGGTGCTGAGGCCACACAGTAAGGAGGGGGGAGGCTGTGTCTCTGGTACTGACTTTTTCTCGTTGATCACCGCTTTCAGGGCAGTGGAAATGTCGTTGGAAGTCATCTCCAGGATGTTGAGGGTCAGCCCTGCTCCCCGGGACTCCACTCGCTTGGCGTTGTCCATCTGGTCCCCAAACAGAGGCATCAGCACCATGGGCACTGCATTGCATATTCCCTCATAAACACCATGGGAGCCTCCGTGGGTGATAAAGGCACGAGTCTTGGGGTGGGCTGTGGAGGGAAACACAGGCTTGCTTAGCTCCCAGAATTACTGACTCCCAGCAACACCTCCCGGGGAAAAACATGCACAAAAAAGGGCCGTGGGTGGGATAAATCAAGGATTTGGGGCTGTTGTGAGCATCGTCCCTCATGACCAGACTTAGAGATTGGAACGCTGTAGACCTCTGTCTTGGTTTTGGGTGATCCTCCAACTTTAGGATGAAACCAGAGCCAGGAGAGGTTAAAAAGGATGTTATCACCGATCAGTTTTTCACCATCTCTTCCATGGCAGTGAAGGTCTCTCACAGCTGAAGCTGTTCTCTTACCAACAAATGCTCTCCTGACAACAATTCCACCACTTTAAAAGCCCAAAGACCTGCCTGGAAGTGCTCCCTTGAGGACCATGAAATTTCTTTTTCAGGCCAGAAGATGGGACAAAAATACAGCTGGGTGTTGAGGCTGCTTAGTCAGAGATAAAGACTCCCATTTTTGCCTGGCACTGAAGTGTTGGAAAACCTTTTCAAACAGAGTCATTTCATAATTTGGCAATTCCCAGCCAAGTTCCTAAAGGACGAGCCCTGGCTCCAAGAGCCAAGGCTGCAAGGAAGGTTTGTGCCCCACAGTGGTGGGTCAGGGGATGGTAACTCACACCTGACACACAGATGATGCCCTTGGGGCCTCACAGCAGCAGCCCTGGAGTACCAGCACCACCCTACAGTGTCAGACCTACCCAGGAGGTCGTTCTGAGGCAGCCACTTGACGAGCTTCACGTTGCTGGGCAGGTTGGGGGGTGCCTTGCCCGTGTAGCGCCAAAAGACCTGGCAAGGGAAGCAAAGCCCACGTCAGATCCCAGCAGGAAAAGGGAGGGAGGAGGGAACAGTGTGGAACTGCTCTGCTGGAAGGGGAAGAGGGAAGTGGTACCGTCTGAGGGACTGTTCCCAAGGCCTCCGCGATTTCCATGGCTTTCTTCATGGGAATCTCAGACACCATGGAGCCCAGCGAGAAGACAACGATGCCATGTTCTCCAGAGGCGTTGACCATGGCTTCAAATTCCTGCCAAAGGAAAGCAAGCCTTTAGTCAAAGCCCTTTCTCTTGTCAGAGGATGGAATTGCTGCCACATTCCCACAAAACTCTCTGGAAAGGGAAGAGAGCAAGCAGAGAGCACAACAAAGTTAGGACTGGGAAATCGATTTCTCATTGACAGTTCTGCATCCAAAGCAGCACAGCCAGCAGATCCAGGGAAGGGATTCTCCCCATCTCCTGAGACCTGGAATCCTGCATCCAGCTCTGGGGTCATCAGCATGAGAAGGACATGGGACTGTTGGAGCAATTCCAAGGGAGAACCATGGAGTTGACAAGGAGACAGGAGCATCTCCCCTAAGGGGACAGGCTGGGACATGGGGCTGTTCAGCCTGCAGCAGAGAAAATTTTTGTGTGGAGACCTCAGAGCCCCTTTCCAGTGCCTGAAGAGGCCCAGAAGGAAGCTGGAAAAGGACTCTTCATGAGGAACAGGAGTGATGGGACAGGGAGTAATGGGTTTGAACCAAAAGAGAGGAAATTTGTGTTAGATATCAGAAAGAAATCCTTCTCTGTGAGGGTGCTGAGGCTATGGAAAAGGCTGCCCAGAGAAGCTGTGGCTGCCCCTGGATCCCTGGAAGTGTTCAAGGGGAGGATGGAGAGGGCTTGGAGCCACCTGGGCTAACGGAAGATGTCCCTGCCCATGGCTAGGGGGTGGGACTGGATGGGCTTCAATGTCCCTTCCACCCCAACCTGTTCTACGATCCTGAAGAAAATGACTCTTGGGGAAGTAAAAATAGGCACGTTTAACCCAAGCCTGGATTCAGAGTTGATGTTCTTCTTTTCAGGCCACGCAGCTACAAGAGAGAATTAAAATCCTGGAAGTGACAGCAGGTAACTCAAATATCTAAATATCTTGATTTATTGTATCTGCTTTGGGTATGATAACACTGTACTGCTGCCAGTTTTGTCTCTCTTTTGTTTGAGTGATTTAAATAAAAGAAGATTTAGCATTGGAATCCAGGAACAAAAGGATTCCAATGAAGCAGAGAAAAAACAGCCCAAGGCTGGAGCAAATATTCTTTGAAATAGAAAAAATGTTTGGTCGAGCCAAGGAAGGATAGGAAAAACTGGAGGAAATTTTTGCAGGCATCAGAGTTAAATAAGGGGAATACAATGAACTAAATGTTCCTGTAAGTCTGGCGATTGCCATGTTATCTCTGGGATCTGAGGGGATAACCAGAGAACCACAGAATGCTTTGGGTTGGAAGGGGCTTTAAAGATTGTCTCATTCCACCCCCCCTGCCATGGGCAGGGACAACAGAGACTGTCAGTTTATGCTCTTTTCCATATTTTTCTGGCTGTCTTGAGGCATATTTAATCCTATTTATATTCTGTGGGGCATCGGTTTTACTTTGTTTTTTAGGTCTTTTTGAATTCCAAAGTCCAACTTTCTGCTCAGAAGTTCTACTATGAGGAAACTCTTTGCAGCCCTGCTTTAGGGATATGCTGATTATTCTAGTAGTGGTTTTTAATCAGCACCTGTTCATACATTTATGAAATATCTGCAGTGGAGATTCATGGAAAAATAAGAGAATTAACAGGATTTATTAATGGAAAGTGAGAGATATCCCATACTGAGGAATTTTGGCACAGTTGAAGTAAAATACAGATACAGTGCAGAGTATTTTACATAAAAGTGGCAGAAGTGTTGCTTCACTGGTGGCAGGAATTTCATTCGGGCCTGCCTGAACTGTCTGAAGTTCATGGAACATCCTCAGTTGGAAGGGACCCACAAGAATCCAACAAGAGTCCAACCCCTGGCCCTGCACAGACACCCCAACAATGCCACCCTGGGCATCCCTGTCCAAGCTCTCCTGGAGCTCTGGCAGCCTCGGGGCCGTGCCCATTCCCTGGGGAGCCTGGGCAGTGCCAGCACCTCTGGGGGAAGAACCTTTCCCTAAATCCAGCCTGAGCCCGCCCTGACACAGCTCCAGCCGTTCCCTCAGGTCCTGTCCCTGGCCTGAGAGAGCAGAGATGGGAGCTGTCACTCCACTGTGCCTCTTAAGGAAGCTGTAGCTGTTGTAGGAAAAAAGAAAAGGGAATGGAAACAGGAAGAATTGGAAAATAAAACCCCCTTTTTTTTCTTTTTTTTTCCTGCTGGTTTGACGGGGACTGCAGAGGTGTCC